CTTGGAAGCAAAGTTTTTAGTGTTATGTTCCCACTTTACAAAATAAACATTGCTCACATGAGTGAGATGTAGGAGCTAGCCAGTGGTATGTTTGGGCAGGATTTGGATAGAAGTCCTGAGTTCTACTTAGCAGAATGAACAAAGCTGGCTTATCACACGTTGAATTAAGTAATACACATGCCTTGAAGGACCACTTGCTCCTGCATAGATCTGTAAAATCAGTTAGATAATCTGGGCAAAAATTATTCGTGTCCCTGCACCCTACAAAATATCATGAGGGAGGGAGGGAGGGAGGGAGCGTTCGGAAAATAAGGATTTTCCACCATTGCCTTTGGAATGCTATTCCGTCTGTCATATACGAAGCATCTCCAATTACTTGCTTTTGACACTGTAAAGACATATCTTTTTGCACATGCCTTCCTTGATCCATGAAACTGCATGCTGTATAACTGGATTCTTATTTTTATTTATTTATTTCTTTTTCGTCAATTATTTTTATTGATTTTTCAAATTGTTTCTATTTCTTTTCTAAATGGCTTAGAAATTTTAAATGGCTGAGAACAGGAAGAAAATACGGGTACCCTGTAAGACTAGTAACTTCAGTGTCTTAAATGAGCTAAATTGCACCAGTAGCACCAGCTCTGAAAGAAGACCTTTAAAAAATATGTTCTGTACATAATTGGTTCTACTGTCTTTATGTTCTAGCAACTGAAAGGCAAAGACATAGATCAAACTTGAGGCCTACACTTCCTGGACAAAATCAAACCCTCAGATTTGGGATTTAAGCTTTCTTCATTCTGCACTGGACAGCAGCAGTTCCTCTCTAATGATGACTCACTGCTCTTTCTATTTTCAATATATTCCAAGCTGTACCATAATAGTACTGCAAGTTCTGTTGATTTAGCATTTAAGATTAAAAGTTTACCCTATTTATTTTTCCCTTCCCCTGTTCATAGAACAACAAAACCTTTCTGTAACTTTCAGTGACATTGCCTGATAAAGCTAGCACTGAATAAATTATATAGAGCTTCATCAGAAGTTTGTTTAGCATGAAAATCGTCAAACTAAATGCATTTTTTTCAGACATAAACCATTTGCTAGTTGCTCCACTGCATTGTGGTTCACACATACAAAAGTGTCAAGAGTTGTGATGAACATACAGCACACCCACAATAAGCAAAGTAGATGGAGGAAACGTTTAGCATTGCAGCTGCTTCACTTCTTAAAAAGCAAATAAACCAAACCAAAGTGTAAGCCACCTGCTTTAGGATAATGCATTAAAGTCAAATATTTTAGCTGCTTACAAATTAAAAATATTTATATCTAATCAACATCCATTATTCAAACTTAAACATATTCTGTCCAGGGGAAATCTAAGCACAATCCAGTTCATCACAAGCACTTCTAAGTCTTTTATTCTAGTTCATTCAACAAGCACATTCATAAAGCCTTATTCATAATCCCCACATGCGTCCCCTTTGTGACTTCACCAGCAAAGTAAAAGCTCTCTATTCAAGAAACTTAATGGTGGAGAAAAATCATTCCTGCTATAATACACACCACAAGAGGAAACTTGTCCAAAGGCTTGTTGTCAAATGGAAGCTGGAATGGTTTCTGATATTATGCTGCTACTCAAAATAGCCTAAGCACAAAGAAGTGCAATACACAATTCAAGAATTGTTATTGGCAATATCCTGGCTTAGTAAGAATGAACAAATTCCACTATTGCAGTTTTCCTCAATTTCTCATTTTTCCAGTTCAGTTTGTCAAATTTTTGTATTACTTTGCAGTCTTCCCCCCCCCCAATCCTCGTGAAAATTCAGCAGCATTTTACTGTGCTTTTCTCCTAATATAAGCATTTTTAAACATCTCAAAATTTGAAGGAGTGCAAAGGATACCTATGATTTGTTTCAAGTATATATTTTTTGGCAAAAAGTGAATTAGGAACATAGGAAGATGCCTTATATATAGCCAGTCAGGCCAATGATCTATCTAAAACAGTGCAGACACACTGACTAGCATTAATACTAAGGTTTTATGCGGGTGTCACTCCCAACCGTAGCTGGAGATGTTGGGGGTTGAGCCTGAGCTTTCTGCATATAAAACAGATAGCCGACCACTATAGGCTATAGCCCTTCCCCTAAATTAGGTTCTCATTAAAATGCAATCCACCATTCCTATGCCTTTAAACAATTAACAAATAAAAAGTGCATCAAGGTTCTGGACTGTACGTTATATTGTAGGATGTTAGATATTATAAAAATGAGGATATCCAATATTTCATTTTTAGAAAATTTGGGTCGGGCCACTATTAGTCCCAATAAAGGTAGACCCATATAATCAACATGGCTAACATAGGCCCATTCATTTCAATGGGTCTGCTCAACCCATGCTAATGATCAAAGTATTTAATAGCAATAAAAAGTCAGATTCATCAGGGCATGGAGGCTCAGAGATTGGGAGAAAATTTTAAAAGACAACGTTCATGTTGCTTTCTAGGTTTCCTTCCCCTTCAGAACCAAGGTTAGAAAGAGTAAGACGCTCTCTTGTAACATTGTAATCTAAGGGCAAGCAAGCTGTTACCATTCCTTGTTAGGAGCCTGAAAAAGTTTGTCTATACATATTCCTTAGGAACAATTCCCATTGAAATCCATGGTGCTAAGTCCCGATATCGTTTGGTTTAGTAAATATAAATGGCTAAAAAGAACCTGAAGTTAAGCAGCAGTTTTCAGTTTTAAGATATTGAAAGGAAAAGCTCCCCACAGCCCATTTCTGTGAGGCTATTTAATATTCTACCTAATAACCTGCCATGATTTATTGCTGTTGCAAAATGAGTTTTAATGAGACTTCAACTTGAGCACTTAAAGAAATTAAAAGCTTATTACTGTTTTATTAGCACACCAGGAGTTTAATTGATGTGCCTTAGGGATTTATTTATTTTTTATTTTTATTTTTGGTATTATATGTACGGAAATCAGATAATTGAAGTACTACAAGCAAGAAATATTATGTGAAAAGCTGCACAGCTGACTGAGATGCTCAACTGGTCTTTTTTATTTTTAAAAAAACAGTTACCGGTAATTGTACGTTCAAATTTTGTATTAAGTGCTGCTAGTACTTCAAGTACCAAAAGTGACATAGCTGCTACTGGCCACTAAAGTTTAAAGGAGCCAATATCTATTCTCCCAAGATGTTTACTACCCTTCAGTTGAGAAGATCACTTAGCTTTAGGAAGAAAGCATCTCCACACAGAACACCAGAACAAAGACAAAGATCTGCATAATATTTACATGTGCTAATTCATATTGGTGGCTTCGAATGTAGTGTGAGTGGACATCCACTTGTAGAACAGGACCTTCCCTTCCCTTTACAGCCTCCCTATATCCCCTAAAATCACCCAGTAACCTTGGGCCAGCCATTGCCTTCCAGCCTAACCACCCTATGATGTGGAGATAAAATGGTGGAAGAGAGATAAAATGTATGTCACCTTGAGCTCCTCAGAGGAAAGGTTGGTGTGACAGAAAGCTCAGGTAGGCCAGAGTCTGGAAGTTTGCAGAGTGCTGGGCTGGAAACCTCACTCTGATTGGCTGCAGGTACAGCTAGCCAGAGGGGCCAGAGACAGCACTTTGGGAGGGGGGAGAAGCAGTTGAGAGTTGGGTCCCTGGCGTTCAGCTGGTTAGGAGTATAGCCTCTGAGCTGTGTGTAATTCGCCCTGAGGGAAGATTTTCAGCCAGAGTTTCAGAATCATTTCAGAATTCTGAAATTATGGGGTTGCTAGCTGCAATTATTATGTAATATGAAAAGAAAGCTTAAAAAATTAACCAAAATTAAGGGAAGGATTTGTTGAAGAGAATTAATTAGAGAATGGAATGCAGTAAGGAGAGGTATGAGGAGGTCGGGAAAGTAATTTTCATGAATATAAGGGAATGAAGTTATACATGTGGTTTTTGTTGGTTTTTTGATTTTTTTGTTTGTATTTTTGATTTTCTTTTTTGTGTGATTTTTATGTTTTATAAAACTTGTGAAAATGCTAATAAATATTTTATAAAAAAAAAAAAAAGATTTTCAGCCAGAGAAGGAAGTGTCTGAGCTGGGTGTTAGTTTAACAGACAGGGGCTGGTGTCTTCTAAGAGCATACAGACAAATGAGAACTAGGAAGCTGAATTTGAGAAAGGAGAAACGGGAGTGATGAAGGAAGACTCTACTTGGGTCTCAATTCAGTGAGAAGGGACAGATCTTCTGGAGAGAGAAGAGTAATCCCAAACCAGATAGAGGGGTGCAGTGATCCGCTGGTCTGGTATACTAAAGGAGAAGCCTCAGGAGTGAGATTTATAGAAGGTTGGGAAACTGACAGAAAGTGCCAACTTGTTTCATAACCCAAGTTTTAAGACCCAAGCTGCAACACCTCTGCAATTAGTTTAAGGAATGGAAGTAAATCAAAACTGTACATTTCCATCTTGTTGAGAAACATGTAAGACAGTTTGACATCCTTGGCTATTTAGAAGCAATTCCTGTAGTTTAAATAGAAATACATTTCACCATAGTAGGCAAACCTGTGAACTATGTCTGCTTTTCAGATGCTAACTGTTCCAACAGAACTGGAAAAACCACACTATCCCTGTAAGATACCATAGAAGTCAAATGAAATATTGTAGTTACAGTAGTCTTCTAACTCCTCAATTCAAGCATTCAATTATTTTTAATTTGTTTATTACTTTAAAAAAAAGTTGAAAGAGAAAACTTCTTGGTATAAAGACTGGGCTCCACGTTTTATTCTTTTCCAACCCAGGCTAGCTTATCATGTAAGCAATAGACAAAGCACAACCTGATTAGGGAAAAATCCAAGGATAGGATGAAAAGGTCAAAGCAATCTGGAATTCTTTGTTTATATAGACAGAATTTTGTAGTTCAATATAACAGCCATAAGCCAATTTACTGATGCTCTAAACAACACACAACACACACACACACACACACACACACACACACACACACCGAACTAGGTCATGGCTTTCCCAGTGATGAATATCCAAATATGTTTATTTTTTAAAAAATCCAGAGTACAGATGTATTTCTGCTCATGTCCGTGATGATAATGTCTTTAAAAGCACACAGATAAATGCCATATTCTGAAAACTTAATGGCAACAGGGGCTGGGAAGAGAATGAAGAGTAGAACAAGTCATCCTGAATGGCTGGAAGCCACTGCTGGAAGCAATGGCTGGCAGTATCTGTTTCAAGTGGTTATCAGAAGAAACTTGTCCAAAAATTAAGCAACACATATTCATTTCCTCCCTTTAAAACATCCCTGCCTTCCAGGAACAACTATGTAGTTTTGCCTGAAAACCCATTCAAAATAAATTTCAGAAGTATATGGCATTTAAATGAATAAATCAAAGGAGCAGCCAGCTCAAGTGCTCAGTCCAGATGCAGCCTATCATTCTAACTTTACTTTCTTTGGATTCTTTCCATCTTCAGTCTTCTTTTCAGCTGGCCTCTTCTTTAAACCCTTCATTTTCCTGGTCTGCAATTTTTCCAGATCTTGTTTCTGCATGTGGATCCGTCCATATTTTGTACCAAAGACATCATGGGAAATATTTTTCTTCTTCTTTGGCTGAAAAATAAGAAAGCATTACAGTTTCTCTAGACTGACATCTAGCAATTGTATGATGCCACCATTCCTTGTTACATTTCAAAACAGTTGCATTTAAGGACAAAAACCAAGACTGGATGCAACTAACTTAGAAGAGCCACCCCCTAAAACTCCATTCAGGCAGAAGTTTTCATTTGGCAGAAAACTCCAGAAGCAGTGATTTGGGAGTTACAGGAAGAGACAGCACTTTAACAGAGCACTAGTGACAATATGAATTACTAGCAGCAGTGACCTTCCAAATTAAGGCCGCATCCAAATAATTTCAATTAAATTAGAGACCTAACAGTGGTATGCAGATTCAAAACATGCCTGATGTCAAGGAATCTTTTAAAAACCTACTAAAGATCATATGAAAAACAGGACAAAGCTTAATGGATGATGTAACAGAACATGGAAACAGTCAGGCAACGAATTGCTGATTACATCAAGGGTAAACATTGAAGACGAGAAATCTACACATCTCTTTTCTTATGGAAAAGCTTTCAGTGGTGTAAAGATGTGCCAACATACCTTGAGAGCTTTGGGCTGTCTTAGAGATAACTTATAAAGATCATCTGAGGCCAAATGGGTCCTCCTCATCACCAAATCTAGCGATGGCCCCATGTCTTCAAGTTCAATCCTTGGTATTTTGCAACCAGATTTTTTCAACAGCACTCTTAAAAAGATAAGAACAAGTTGCCTTCTCACCTGACATGTTTAACAGATGCCTTGCAACAATCAACCTCCCCCTCACTTGCATTCCACAGTGATGCAATACCAACATGACTGGACGATGTGCTTTTCTCAGACTGCAGAGTTTTTTGCAGGCTGGAAGCTTACTTCCAATAAGAGAGAAACTATCGCACACATGCTCTTTTTTTCTGGGAAGAAAGCAGTTACTAAGATCCTGATAGTTCAGCACGACTCATTAGCAACCAAATCCTACCCTCTTTGAACCTGATGCCATTGATGCCCTGGCTTGTGTGACTGGTTCAGTAATGCTGGTGTGCAAATGTTAAGTAAAGCAAAAACATAGGGCACGAATGCTGAACAACAGACTTTGGGAGAAGGACTAAGGTGGGCAGAAATACTGGGAGCACCCTGCCCCATGACATGCATCCTTAAGGGCACAGGAGTGGCCCCTCCAACCAACTACTCCCACAGGCAAATCACTATTTGCAGGGCACAACATGTGTTGGCCCCATCTGCACTGCATTTTGTGCTGCTTTTTCTGTGTTGGGGCAAGCTATTGTTTACTTTGCAGTGCTAAAGTACACCGAGGTTATACTTGTCTGCCACAAACTTAAAGCTCTGCTCTTAAAATATGCTTCCCTGGAATGAATGTCATATAGATTTACAAGCAAGTACATATATTTAAATGTCATTTAGTTTTGAGGTGAATAAATTAGTAGTATGATCATTCCTTTATTTTATTTTATTTTTAAAAAATCACTATTACATTTTTCCAATCACCAGTAGAATTTTTACACAAACGTTTAGCTGTTTTGTTTTTACCAAATATTCCAATAGCTGAGCATCTGGTTTGCATGCAGAGGGTTCTGGGTTCAAGTCCCAGCATTTCCAAGTAATACTGGGAAAGACTCTCTATTGAAAACCTGGGGAGCTGCTTGCCAGACAATATTGAGCTGGTAGGACCATTGGGTCTGACTTGGTACAAAGGCAACTTCTCATATTCCTAAATAATTTGGAAGCTGAAGAGTTTGAGCAGTACACATTGGAAATTATTTTTATAAGTTTTAGAAAATATGCCATTCCTGCCTTGACCTCTAGGAGGCGCTAACCACCTGCCTCCAGTATGATAGCATGCAGTGAATCTGTTCAAGCTGTTAGATAATTTAGGTAAATTATAACTAGGCACCTTCACTTTGATATACAGGAAGCCCCCAACTTACGCAAGGGTTACATTCCAAGGATCACACCGAAAGCTTATAGCCAAAACACATTGGGCTCAATGGTGGGTGGCATTGCCAAAAGTCATTTTTCTTACTCCATCCCCATTCTCTCCACGCCCCCCTCCCCATATAGCCACATTCATAAAGCTGAATGCGCACAAGTTAAACGTATGCAAGTTACGGGCTTTCAAAGTCTGATTCTGTAACTCTAACTCTGGCATAGGTGAACTCCAGCCCTCCAGATGTTTGGGGCTACAATTCCCATCAGCCCTAGCTAACAGGACTAGTGGTCAGGGATGATGGGAATTGTAGTCCCAAAAATCTGGAGGGCCGGAGTTTGCCTATGCCTGCTCTAACTCAATCTTACAAAGCACTGCACACAATCTGATTCTTAGGAAGCATGTTAGTATTGCATATAATAGCAAAAAATAAGCAATGAGAGACTTACTTGTAACTTCTCATATAGACTTTTTCATCAATGGCTGTGAAGTGAAGAACGTGTTCTAAGCCTGCCAGGCGAACGCTGGGCACAACAGGGCCTCTGAAAAAATCTGAAAGAGGAAAAAGAGCAAGAGCCATTTCTAGACAGCCAAAAGAAACAAGATCAGGGATCTGCAAATAGAATCGCCACTTGCAGCCAGACGTGTAATTCTGTCAACCAGCAAAATATTCTGGCACGAGAGAAATATTTTTTTTGAGCCACTAGGCCAAAACAGTTCAGGTCAAACAGTGCACATGCAACAACCAAAACAGGAGGATTCAAAACAACCATACACTTTTAAGTACCTTTATCTTTAAAACAGTGGTTTTCCACATATTTCAATGTTTGTGAAAATTAGGACTGAAAGAACAGAAAACAACACCTCACTTCAAAATAGATTGATATTCTCTCTCTCTCTCTCTCTCTCTCTCTCTCTCTCTCTCTCTCTCACACACACACACACACACACACACACACACACACAAACACACACCCCCAAACAGCTGACACTTGTGGACAATTTTGAGGTTGCAAGAGATTATGCGTTATGGAAAATAAGAGTTAGCAGTGGCTGATTAACAGTACTTCCCCCACCCCCTACGTTTGGCACTAATTATAACAACCAAATTGGAGAATTGCTTTCAGCCCTGACGCATTTCAGTTATTAATAGTGCAAGTTATGTAAAACATAAATGAAACAAAACATTATTCCAGATTGTATTTGGGTCTACGAAATGATATCAAACATGGTAAAACTTAACAGAAACACAAAAGCTATTTTATGATTTTTATACAGTCATTATGATCAGAAAATGCTACTGTAAAGCCCACACCTCCTTGAGACTTGGGGATGAGGGGAGAAAGCACAAGTAAGATATCTCTGGTCTACACTTGTTGATACCAAGGACAAACATAATCATGGCACAGACCTATCCATGTACTGTAACAATAGATTCAAAATGTTAAATTGGAGGCGTTTTCCCAACATAACCTAGGGCACCATCTGTATGTGCTCATTTTCAAAGCATATCAAAGATGTAAAACCCACTGTAAATGAAATCTCATCTTGAGCACTGAGTTCCTCCAACAACTATCAATATGTACATTTTAAGACGACTCTCCAATTGAACCTCAATTCCAGCTTGTGTCAAGACAAGAAGAGCCAATGTGATGCCCTCCATATCTTACTGGATTATAGTTACCATCATACTTGACCATGATGGTTGGGGCTGATGTGGACTGTAGTCCAGTAACATCTGAGTCACACCGACTATCCCTCTTTTAGGAATATTAACTTCTTCTTTTTAGAGGGTGAGGAGAGAAGATATGCAATCCAGATTAAAACAAGATCTCTGAATTAATATAAACAAAATGTGACTAGAGTTGGGGAGGGTGCCTGTCTGACATGAAGAGGATGGCTAGAATGCGGCATTCCCTGCCAAACCAAGAGCCATAAACTCAAGGTAGAGAGCGCGACTTGAACATTCTGCAATTTCTTATCCGTACAAATAAGGGCTGCTAGTTCAGATCAGCAACCCTGAACCAACAACTTCTGAAATTATGCAGGACAGGTATGCCCAGATTATTTTCAAACGGCCCTTAACAATTTTGCATAGTATTGTTCAGTAGCGACACATTAGAACAAAGTCACCTGTGCTGGGATGTATGCATAACCGTTCAACTGGAATAGACCATGACACTCTTCTGAGGCCGCATATAGCTTGTGAGAGAAGGATTTGAACTACCGTATTTTTCGCACCATAGGACGCACCGGACAATAGGACGCACCTTGTTTTAGAGGGGGGAGAACAAGGGAAAAAAATTCTTCCGCTCTCTGCCCAGCGCCCCTTCAGTGAAGCGGCAGGAGGCGCTGCGAAGAGAGTGGGAGAATTTCCCCCCTCTTGTTTTCCCGCTCTAAAACAAGGTGCCGTTTAAGGTGCGTTCAGGTGGCTACCTTGGAAACCTGGAGAGCGAGAGGGGTCGGTGCGCACCGACCCCTCTCGCTCTCCAGCCTTCAGGTTCCTTTCGACCTGCTCTTTGGGGCTGGCGGGGGGAAGCCCACCACCAGCCCCAAAGAGCAGGTCAGGGAGCAGCGGAAAGGCGCAGCAGAGAGGCTGCTGCCATAGGCACACGTCACCTCTTCAGCCGGGAGAGGGTCGCGGGGGGCTGCTTTAGCCCCGCGCGCGCTCTCCCGGCTGGAGAGGTGACACGCGGCTATAGAGGCTCCTGCCATAGCCCCGCGTTACCTCTCCAGCCGGGAGAGGGTCGCAGGGCTATGGCGTCTTTGCTCCATAGGACGCACACACATTTCCCCTTCATTTTTGAAGGGGAAAAAGTGCGTCCTATAGAGCGAAAAATACGGTATACTCTCAGCCAGGAACACAGAAAGACCATGGCCTTGAAGCAGAGTACAAGGCATGTTAACAAAAACAAGTATCAGTACTGCAATTTAAAAAGTACCATAGTGCTAAATGTTCCGTTCTCTTCTAGCTTTGGCTTCCAGAGTCAACTGTATTTTTCTCAGTGTCATTTCCTTGGTTATTTCAGCCAAACCAAAAGCATGAAGTGCAAATATACCAGCGATCAGTTTAATACGTTTCCACACATATCCTTTTGAATTACCAGATTTCTAACTGAAGAAATGAGAAAATATTTTCTTGACATTTCAGTGTCAAACTTTCTCTGCTCATGACTGATGTTCTATGCGGTAGCTTTTGAAATATTATTTTCCTATGTTTTCGGCATCCAATCTTTAAACTGGCACTAGTCCAAAGTTCTATAGCAACAGGAACACTGCTAAATCAAAATCCACATAAGGGTGCTAAGTTTCTGAAAATTATTTTTGTTCTATTATGTTATCCTCCGAGTTCTTGCCAGTTTTGCTTTCTTAACAATTCGTGCTTTTCCAAAACTAACCGTCTGTGAGCTGTAACCAGCCATATTGCTAAAACCTATAAGTTACGCACATTGAAAGAGCATATTGGTTGACACCTTTGATTAAACTGAGCAGTTTCACACATGTTCAGAAGATGCAGTTATGTTTGAATATAAAAAGGCTGTGTGAAACAAATTGCATTAAGTCCTATTCAAAAGGGTTATTTTATTAATTTGTATACTGCCCTTCATCCATAGATCTCAGGACAGTTCACAACATAAAATATAAGAGAAAAACACAAAATACACAATAAAAACAAGAACCAACCCCCCTCCAATCTATAACCTCCCACCCACCCCATCCCGTCCTGCAAACACATTTAAAAGAGTAAAGGTAAAGGACCCCTGACAGTTAAGTCCAGTCATGAATGACTCTGGGGTTGCGGCGCTCATCTTGCTTTACAGGCCAAGAGAGCTAACGTTTGTCTGCAGACAGTTTTTCCGGGTCATGTGGCCAGCATGACTAAGCCGCTTCTGGCGAACCAGAGCAGCGCACGGAAACACTGTTTACCTTCCCACCGGAGCGGTACCTATTTATCTACTTGCACTTTACATGCTTTCAAACTGCTAGGTTGGCAGGAGCTGGGACCGAGCAACGGGAGCTCGCCCTGTCACAGGGATTCGAACCGCCAACCTTCTGATTGGCAAGCCCTAGGCTCAGTGGTTTAGACCACAGCACCACCCATGTCTCTCCATTTAAAAGAATATAGGATGTTAATTACCCAAAGGCTTGGATAAGGGGGAACATTTTTGCCTGGCACCTAAAGGTGTCTAATGAAGGCACCAGGTGAGTCTCCCTGGGAAGAGCATTACACAAATGGGGAGCCACTGCAGAGAAGACCCATTCTTGTGTTGCTACTCTCTGGGCCTCTCGTGAAGTAGGCACACAAAGAAGGACCTCAGATTATGATTGTAGAGTCCGGGCAGGTTCATATGGAGAGAAGCGGTCCTTGAGGTATTGCAGTCCTGAGCCGTTTAATTCTGTTTATATACAGAATTAGGCTGCTCACATATAAGAGTGCTTCAGGATAAAATCCCTCTAGTGTAGTGTTTCCCAAACTTGGGTCTCCAGCTGTTTTTGAACTACAACTCCCATCATCCCTAGCAGCAAGACAAATGGTCAGGGATGAAGAAGAAGAGTTTGGATTTGATATCCCGCCTTTCACTCCCTTTAAAGTGTCTCAAAGTGGCTAACATTCTCTTTCCCTTCCTCCCCCACAACAAACACTCTGTGAGGTGAGTGGGGCTGAAAGACTTCAAAGAAGTGTGACTGGCCCAAGGTCACCCAGCAGCTGCATGGGGAGGAGCGGAGACGCGAACCCAGTTCCCCAGATTACGAGACTACCGCTCTTAACCACTACACCACACTGGCTCTCGACCAGAATTGTAGTCCAAAAACAGCTGGAGACCCAAGTTTGGGAAACACCGCTCTAGTGCCTGGGGTTGCACATGTGGTGCTTCAACTCTGAACACGCTACACCAAATGGATGGGGGTCCCTTGATCCGGAACAGGTGGCTGGTGTCTGTCTGATTGACCCTCTATCCAGGTGGGGAAGAGGAGGAACCTACACATCGATAGTAGAAGAGATACTCTTGGACTCACTTCATTTGAGTTCACCTCAGAACCCAGTAATGTTTCTTTGAGTGACATTTGTGCTCAACTATTCCTCATCTTGCTCCTGATTGATATCATTCAGAATATGCCAACAGATTAATGAATCAGTGCTGTCACAGGAGAGGAACTAATTCTCACACAAAACTGATTTACAATCTGTCAGAATGCAATGCTTGTATTTAAAGTAGGAAGAGGGGGAGTGTCAGAAAACTGTCTCAAATTCAATATGCTTCTGGAAACTGTAGCCATGTCACATGTATAACTAGCACACATGCCCTAAAAAAAGATTTAAAGGGGCCAGGAGAATTTTCCTGTTCTAGTATAACACTTATGACCTCATTTTCCCAACCCTTGTGCTCCCTCAGCAGCAATGTCACATGACTCAAATGGGCAAACTCCACAACCAGCCAATGGCTCGCAAGTCAACAGAAACCTTGTTGTTTACCAAGAACATTGATGTGGTCACATAGCTTTGGTAAGAGTTTATTTGATGCTTGATATTCCCTGTGGGCTAAAAGCAGAATGCGATATTTACAAGGGCAGTGGCTTTTTAAAAGCTATTTACTTTTAGCTGAAATCCAAAGCAAAATATTTATTTTTCACCAGTCAGATAAATAACAGTTCCACTTAGGTCAAACTGTAGAAAATCCAGTCTACTCCTTTATGATTTCATGGGAAACTTCTTGCTCCTCATATTCTTTGGCCTTTACATAGTCAATTCATTTTCTCCTGCTCGCAAAATTTTGCAGCCAAAACTGTACTGCGTAATCACATGAGGGAGGTATAAGCAGATTCTAGCTAATTCTAAGCTTGCCAAGTACACACAAAGCCTTTAAGAAGAAAAACAACCTAATGGAACTCCCCAAAACAGCCCAGCAGGGACTGAAGAAGCCAAAGAATGCTGACTGACAGGAGAATCAAAATGTTGAAAGCCAGGTGAGAGGGAAGAATGGAAGGGCTGAAAAAGAAGGCGAGAGAAAGAACTGCACAGATATAAAGAGAAGGAGAGAAAACTATCTCGCTCACTTTGCACAGGTTGTTCACTTCTTCCACAAGGAGAAGATATTCTAGGGTATTTTTTAAAATTCCCAGGGCTAGAAATGAGGTATGTTCATAGGAAGCAAGATTTTAAATGTGACTGGGATTAGGCAACAATATTTTAATTCGATATTTTAATGCCTACAGGGAAACAAACACAAATTACCCATTCCAATTTTATTCTATCTAAAAAAGGAGGACCCCCCCCCCATCTGACTTGGAATACAGTGGTACCTTGGGTTACGAACTTAATTCGTTCCGGAGGTCCGTTCTTAACCCAAAACCGTTATTAACCTGAGGCATGCTTCCGCTAATGGGGCCTCCTGTTGCCGCTGCACGGTTTCCATTCTCACCCTGGGGCAAAGTTCTCAACCTAAGGTACTACTTCCGGGTTAGCAGAGTTTGTAACCCAAAGCGTTTGTAACCCAAGGTACCACTGTATCTCCCTGATCATCCAGTCGCTCTCTTCTGACATAAGAACTGGGCAACTGGGCAGAAATAACCAATGATGGGGTTTAGATATCATACTGACTCCCAATATGACTTTGAAAACTTACGAATTTGAAGTTATATTTGCAGGCTTGATTTCCATCTGCCAAGGATTACACACACACACACACACACACACACACACACACACCACTACATTTACACAGGGCTTTCAGGGCCTTCCTGGTCACAGTCCTGAGCAAGTCCACACTCACTGAGCTTCCGTAATGCATCAGATGTTCCCAGGCAATCCACTGGGTCTTGATTTTTAACTTAGGCTGCAACTACTTCAGCTTACAGATTCATTTCTTCATAGGAGGACAGTTCTCAATGTTCTCCCACCCCACCCCCTGCTGCAAAAAAAGAACAGATGACCACAAAACCGCCTGGGTTACTGACCGAAAGATAAAACTTCCACATAACTTTACAAAACAACATAAATCACCGCAACCTTTCACATTTTAGTACTCCCAACAGATGGCTAAATCCCAAATATGAAAATTTCCATGACTCAGCACTGCAAGAGTTCCTACTCTGCTACACAAAAAAACTTACCAATTAGAAGGCTTTTTAATCTCCTGTGTTCTTCACTGATGTCGAAAGCATCACCGGCAAATATCAACATAGGTTTTGTCCCTTCAGGGCACTTGCTGTTCTATTAATTTTGTTTTTTAAAAAATAAATGAATCAGAAGATTAGAAAGTGAAGGGTTGCAGTGGGAGAAGAAGCAACACCTCAGAAAACTGCCAATGAAATAAATGATAAAAAGTACACAAAACCCCAATGCAAGCAAGAGGGAAACGTAGCTATCTTAAGGTACAAATATTTTAGTTGGCTTAATCTGTACTGACTGCCTGATAGCATTTCACATGGAGAAGCCTCGCCAGGTCTAGGTATTAAGTCAGGGGTGGGGAACCTGTAGCCTTCCTGATGATGCTGGACTCCAACTGCCATCTGTCCCAGTCAGCATGGCCAAAAGTCAGGGGTGATGAGAGTTGTAGGCCCATAACATCTGGAGGGCCACAAGAGTCTGTGACAAGAGCTCACTAAAAGGAATTTTCTATTCCTATACTATCTACAAACCACACAGCATAAACGATAGGTTAAATATCCACATTTAGGCAGTAGGCAAAGGCATTTGTATTTTCCATGACTTTTAACCTAAGCTGAACCACCCCTCCCCGCTTCTGTCATTCTTTTCAGTGATCACTTTAACGGTTTTTATTGCCATTTTTTAGTCCTAGAAATTTTGAACTGAAGGGAAATATAGGTATGTTTTAAATAAATGAATAATGCCTAATACATAGTTTGGGTGTACTTCTCCATATCACTCCTCATTTTAAGGATATGTAGCCACCAATCCATTTGGTAAGCAATTGATAAGCTACAGGTTTTACAGCATCTTACCTTGATATCTCTGAGAGCTACAAACTTCTCAATACCCAATTCAACCATATCCAGAACATGATAATCATACATGCGACCTGCCAAAGAAAAGAAAGTGATTCAAATATTCTCCTTGAATAGGTATATTCAGCACAAAGACAGATGCACAATAGGATTACAGTGTACATATTTAAACACCACAAGTTATATGGATATAAGTACTGCCAGGTAACGGTTAACCATTTCTGAAGGCAGCCCTGTTCAGGGAAGTTTTTAATGTGTGACATTATTATTATTATTTGTGAATAACCGGCAACCTTGTCTTCATAAACGATATACATTTCAGACTCTGCATTCTTCTCCTTTAAGAGAGGCGTTTCAGCATGTTGGAAAATCCAGTAAGTTAAGACTTCCATCACCTCTGCCACCAACTCGCTACATAGCCTTGGCCACTAGTTCTGCTCCCCAACAAAATATTTATGCGGATGAAGGCAATGAACTGTAGAAAGTATTGCACAAATCAGAAGTGCTAAACAAACTGTGACAGCTCTTCTTGTCACAACCAAATCAGTGCACCAAAATTTCTATCCTCATTTTCCTTAACATGCGCTGGCTGAATTCATGGAGTCGGCTGTGACAGTGCCTCACCCATGCCCTCTGCTGGCCCTTCCCCTAATCTGCAAGCATTTAGTGGAAGGCAAGGATTCAACATGCGTGGCTGTGCAAGAGTTCCTACTCGAAAATACGGACCCTACAGCCCATTCTTGTCTTCAGTTGCATGCATAAAACTTAGGGGGAAAGGGCCAATCCCACTTCCTCTCCATGTGTAGGATCAATATGGAAAAAGGATAATGAAGTTACAGAGGAACCAAGAGCTCTCCTACAGACATCTCTACAAAAGCAGACAAGCTTTCGAATTATGTAACAGGAAAGCCTAATTCTGCTTCGAATCTTTCAAGCACACTGCTGTTACTTTCCTCCAAACTTATTTGTAAAAAAAGGAGGTCAAAGTAGCAGAAGAGCACTGATCTTTTTATTCTCACGTTAGCTAGATCTTGTTGGTAATCTATTTCTTCCAACTCACAAAAAAGAAACAACTTTACCTATTATCAGATTATTAGGCCTCTTCTTGTTATGTGATCCAAACAGGAACAAAGAACAGTCAGATTTCTTGGAAAAAAATTCCTGTTAATAAAAGATGTCAGTTGAAGGTTTTGCAAAGTGCAACATAAAAGTGCTGAATGCCAATCCCTCGGAAGAATGTTCTGCTCCTGAGCAACCTTAAAATCCGGCCAAAGGAGGAAACTCAACTAGCTGCTTATCTCAAGATTAAACCTAAATGGCCTTGTTGGAATATTATGACATTGTTTTATTTAAAGTCTGCAGGAAAGACATGGGTGGCAATCCAGAAAACCCGGTGTGTGCATCCAACTGGGTTTGGTCTTGGGATTCTTGAACAGCCTGCTTGTACAGACTGCTCCTGTAATTCACATGCAAGACAGTCTCTCACCCACAAGGTGAGGTTCTTTCCAGCCACAAGCCACAAGCTCTCATGCCTTATTGCAAGTGTGAGGAAACTGTGGCCTCCAGATGCTGCCGGACTACAACACCCATCACACCCCTGACTACTGGCCATGCTGCCTGGGGCTGAGGAAAGTTGGTGACAGTGATCTGGAAGAATCCGGGTTATGCATGGGGGAGGGTGTGCTTCTGAAATGGGGGAGCTGAAAAACCACACATGCACCCCTTGTACAAAACACTATCTGGGGCACTTTGGATCCTAGAACTTTGGATTAAAAGGGCATGAGGTTTAATTAAAAAAAAATAAAATCTGAAATCAATCACACATATTCTTCATCTATTAAGAAACCTAATATGCACTATAAACATTCATTTTAAAGTTATTTGTGTTTTTCAGATAAGAGACTGACATTCCAAATCCAGATCCTCCAGAATCCTGTCTAAATGCATAAACAATACCCAATGAACACCAGCTGCGAAATGAGAATGGGGTTTCCCATTAAAGCTTTCATTTGACAACACTTACCTAATGGCTTTATGTTTGAAAAGGTTAGGGAAATGCCCAGATATTCAACTTAGCTTGGGTGAATGTTTGCTATCTGCCTGAGTTTTTGAGATAGAGCAAGGTATAAAACAGAATGGAGTTGCACATTGCTCCTGTTTTACCCATCACTGCCTTGAGCATGCCATGCAGCCCTCATTCAGGTGGATTCTATGGCAACAATATTCTCATTTCACAAACTTCTCAGAATAGGTCATGTTTCCCAAGTCACAATACAGAATGGAAGCTGCTTATTTGAATATTTCAGAATCAAACACAGCTATTAATGAATTTAAACATAAAGGATCCTCTGTCTCCTTCTCAACAAGTTCTGCCTAGAAGCCAAGAATTACTGTTTAAGAGAATTACTGTGGTAGGAAAAAAAGATTGCAGTGTTTGTTTTATGAAAATCAAAATGACGTGGATCCATATACTAGCATAGTATATGGGCATATCAGTCCATATCAGTCTCCTCTGAATCCATCTTTATTTTGTTGTTTAGAGCCATGCAATGAAGACAGCCCATTTTTTCCGATTGGACATATAAGTTTTGTATACTTACCAGCGAGGTTTGATCTTCAAATGGTCTTGCAATGTTTTTTCTAGAGAGAACAGAAAGGTTTGGGTTTTTTTGGCTCTTGGATATGTGGCGTGACAAAATTGACTTTGAAGTTTTAGGCACACTGTGTCGAAAGACTCTTGCTCTCTTTATCAGTTCAGGAGCTTCATCACCACTTAAATTTAGTGTAGCACAGTAACCTTCCCCCAACCAGGTGCATTCCAATTGTTTTGACTTCAACTCCCATTATCCGTGACCATTGGCACTCCTTACTGGGAATCTTGGTCCAGAAAACCCTGAAGGAAGGCTGCAGCACTGCAAAGGCCCATGCAATATATCATATCAACTCTATCATGGATCAACCAAATGCTCTTATTTAGTGTTTACATTCCAGCTTTCTTCCAAGGGTAGTGTAATTCTTTCTACTCAAGGACCTGCCTGAATGGGAATCTGCCAAGGGCCCACATCCCAACAGGGGACCACTGATAGCCTGCTCCTCCACTGCAACCTGCATGTCTCACCCCCTTCTCTGCATCTCACTCTAGCCCAGATGGTGGTGGTGAGCAGTACCTGCCACTGCCTGCCTGCCACTGGCTCTCTGCCTGGCATGCAAGCAGATGTTAGCTATAACAAGGACGACACGGAGCATCTAATGATAATGGATAGAGGAAACAGACCCACAGAGGGAGGGGTCTTGCCCTATGGCCCTCATAAACCTGCCATTGGCACGGTTTCCAACTTGTATCTTCACACAACCCTATGAGTTAGGCTAAGCTGAGATAGTGAGTTAGCTACTGACCAAGGTCAGCTAATGCATCTCCCTTGTTCTAGTCCAGGCATGGCCAAACTTGGCCCGCCAAATGTTCTGAGACTACAATTCCCATCATCCCTGACTACTGGTCCAGTTAGCTAGGGATGATGGGAGTTGTAGTCCCAAAACAGCTGGAGGGCCAAGTTTAGCCATGCCTATTCGAGTCCAACACACTAACCAAGTAAGGTGGTTGTCCCCCAACATCTGTTTCTGTAGATAGGGGCTCCTTTTGATTAGTTTATAATTCCTGACTCAATTTTCATAAATATATCTAGCCCTTTTTGAAGGCATCACAACATACTTTACCCATGAATCTGATAGGTTAAGTTCATGCCACATTTAAGCAGTTCTTCCTTAACTTCCGGCATTAACCAAAAGGTAGGTTAAGAGGCAGTGACTGGTCCAAGGTAACCCAATGAGCTTCATGACTGAGTGGGGATTTGAACCCTGATCTCCCAGGTTCTAGTCTGACACTTACCACACCACCACACTGGCTTCCTAGAGTATTTCTGCTATGGGGCAGCTCTATAAATTAAGTAGTTGAATAAATGCGGGGAAAGCAAACTATTACTTAGAGAAGGAAAGTGGGGGGAAATGGCACCTAGACATACCGTTCGAGTTTCTAACACTGCTGAATACTGCGCGCACGCACACACACGTATGTATGTATGAGCTGCTCTTAAAATATGCTAAATGCCATACAAGTTCATATTAGATTAACTGAGAAAACACTTACTTTTTATATAGTACAGCAAAGGGCTTTTTCAGCGCATACTACAAAAGGAAATAGAAGTTAGAGATAACATTTTAACGTTGAACCACTCTATGACAAATCGTTTTATCTGTTCAGACAAGCACTCCCCCCCTTTAAACAGAAGGGGGGGAGTGCTTGTCTGAACAGATAAAACAGATTAAGGAGTGCCTGAAGGATTTCACTGTGTACTGTGCTTCCCAACAGGTTTCTGATAATGGATCGATCCATCAGGGAGCTCTGCAACCACACCCTGCCCCCTCCATACCTCTCACTATCAAGGAAATGCAATAAACGAATAGAAATAGAACCTACCTGGTTGATGTTGATACAAAACCCCACACATACACTATATAAAAGAATATAAACCTCACCACACAACCCCTCCTCTCCCCCATCTTCTTCCCCAGCCTTATACTGCACTCAACACTAAGGTCTCACAACAAATGTAACTGATTTGTAAGAAAGACTGTAAAACCTGAAAAAAGAGACAAGGCATGTACTTTTGTAAATCAAGAAAATCTTTAATAAAAATAAATTAAAAATATTAAAAATTAAAAAAGGACTTTCTTCTCTCTTCATTACACTATTATTTTTTCTCCTTGGTCCAAATATATGTCCCCTTTCTATTGCAGTAGCTATACTGCTGTAAACCACCCTGAGACCTCCAAATGAATGAAGTAAATATAGATTCATCAGGAGAGTAAAATGGAGGGAAGCAGAAGAGGATCACTTGGAAAGAGCAGCTTCAGAAAATCCTCCAAATATACTAACAATCAATAATTCCAGGTGCTGTGGATTTGGGTTTAGAATCAACATTCCAACAATAATTTTTTGGGCTGCATACCCCAAGTGTTCTGCATCAAATTGTGGAATTGGCAGAGATTAAGAATACCCTATTAATACAACTGAAGTAAGGCCATCTGGAATCCAGCGCTTGGAGGACTTCACTTAAAAGATAATGCCCAGTATGTATTCTCCAAGTCACATTCCCACACAACCCAGAACACTAGCCATTATTTCACACACACAAATTCCAATCATACTTACAATATCTTTGAGCACGTCAGTTATTGTTGCAGTTGCATTTCCACCTTTTATTAGCATCGCATTCTTTGTGTTTTCTGTGAGCTTTGGCTCTCTCTTCTCAAGAAACCTTTTGGCCCTCTTAGTTTTGGGCTTTCTGCCATGGGAATTTATAAGACACAGAGTCAGCTCTCAAAAAGTATTTGAGCACATCTACAAAGAAACTGGGTTCAACATAGCCCAAGGTCCCATCAGTGCAAGGATTGTTCTTGCACGGCAAAACCGTCTTGCCATATCCTCCCCTTAGCATGCCTCATACATCTGTTCTGGGGATTGCCCCAACCTTACAGAGCAGATCTGGGCACGACATAAATATATAATTAATTAATTAATTAATTAATATATTTATTTGTTTGTTTGTTTGTTTGTTTGTTTGTTTGTTTGTTTGCCTGCCTTTCCTCCAAGGAGCTAAAGGCAATATACATAGTTCTTCCTCCTTTCCCCATTTTATTCTCACAACAATCCTATGATGTAGGTTAGTTTGAGAAAGTGACTATCCCAAGGTCACCAACTGAGCATCATGGATAAGTGGGGATTCGAACCCTGGTCTCCCAGATCCTAGTCTGACACTGTTAAACAGTTGTTGCTTTTTAATGTATGGACAAAAAAAACTGTACTAGTCTTCAAAGAAGTCAATATAAAGATCACGTATTAGTAAGGAGCAAAAAAAGAGTAATATGCAACTCCATATGCATATTTACACAATTCACCAAGCTTTATTTCCAAGCAAGTGTACATAGAACTTTAGTGATGGGTAGTTAATGCAATTGCTGCCTCTGAGTTTTCCACTATCCAGTTCAATACCAAAACAGAAACATATCAGCTGAAGCCACCTCATTAAAAATGTTACTCCATTGTAGTTTTAAACATATTTAGCTGCAAGGAAGCCATACTGAAATCCATGGATCTTAGTTTTAATTAATCATGGCTGTATTTGAGCTGCAAGTTTTACTACAATCTGAAAAGCCATATAAAAAATGATTAGATTAAGAAAAAAGCAAGGAAATGTTGGCTGTGTTAGAGCTAAGTTGCAGCATCAGTCAAGATACTGATACAGACATATCACAACAATTTTTTGTTTAAAACAGATTAACTACTATTCTGCTGACATTTCAGCTGGTTTGTCAGTAATGCCACAGTAACAATGTGCTGCCTCTGCATGAGAATCTAAATCTTTATTTGTTGAAATATCAAGCCTTATTAAGATGTTTTTATACTTTAAAGTCAGCACAAATAGTGTTTTGGAGAGTCTGAAGTTTTCAAAGTGGAATATTAACTCCAGATTGATGATATAGTGCTGGATGTTAGGATCTAAACACGAATGTTAAAGGAGTTGTGCTCTTTAAAAGGAACAGGGAGTTTCAAAGGAACAATTCCCTCACACTGTCCTTTCAACCCCAACTACACCTCACACACCCAAGCACACATAATTACCTGTGACTCAGCTATACAGCTGCAAATAAAACTTTTAAAGTATGTTTTAAGTGCAATATACAATGTGACACTAGATGGTGAGCCTTATGGAAAATTCAATGTATTTTTTTAAAATGCTTTTTAAAAAAAAAACATTTTCAGAATAGTTTTTATATGTGTCTAGGTTACACCCTGGCTCAAAGTCCAATGCTTTGACAACCAAATAAAACAATTCCTCATTTCAGCATTGTTACCAAGCCTTCCAAGAATAAAAATATTGACACAGCTCGAAATGTAGCCGAATAAAGATCTGGTCAAATCTGGAGTCATCTGAACAACCAAAATTCCCTAGGGATAGATGGACTGACGCGAGAAGAACGTTTATGCAGAAATGTCAGATTGTCATCCTTGCATTTTATGGCTCTGGGGTCACACTGCCTACAAGAAATTATTTATATACACACAGAGGTGGATCCGCCCATTAAAACGACTGACGAAATGGGCTCTCTTATCTGAAATCTGAACAGGATTGCTCAACACACTGTGCACTCCATTTTTTATAAGCCTTTATAATTAGAATACGCTTCTTGACAGATAAAGCAGCTTAGCTGCAGAGTACCAGACAGTTCATTGCTCTACACCTAAGCAAAGGAGTAGAGCAACGGCTTATTTGGCTTTCCAGATACAAAAGGACGTTGTCATAACACCTGTAAAGCCTGCAGTCCAAACTATAGCCATGGTCATTCAGTAGCATGATGTTTTGATTTCTGTATCCGCGGAATGAGGAAAGTGCTTCCCGCGCTTAAGTAACTCCGCGAGCGCTTATGCCATAATAAGACACAAACCTTGGAAGTAAATCACATCGAGCTCACCGGGTTTTGCTTAGAACTGGACCTGACCAGTCTAAGGCTGTATATCTGCCAAAACTATAGGGGCAATTAAACATTTTCTTAACGACCTCAAAATAACGCGGCCACACTATTACGGGCACAAGCTTCGCAACGCTTCGAAACAACTGTACTTACACCACCCGGTCCAAGGAATCCATTTTCTCCGAAAAATATCACCCGTCACCACGTGGGTCCGTAGAACATGTGCGCCGGAAGAAGAACTACGCCCGGTGTGGTGACGTCATATCCGGCGGCATTGGGAACAGACTTAAAAAGATAAGGCTGGCTAAGAGCTTTGGAACGTAACAAACGCGCAAGCATTTGTATCTCTGTCTCACAGAGCCAATACACTGAAATATTCTGCGCGGCGGAGCAGCATAAAAAAGTTTTGGGTTAATAACATTTTATCACTTTTTAATTCCCTTCCCCGCATATGGCAACGTTCAGAGGTAAATCGGAAGTTCAGGCTGCGTGGAAGTGGTCCTAATTTCCCATTTCTATGAGAAAGGGTTTACGGTAGAGCGTCGGTCATAGAGATAAGATTGAGCAGCCAATATAAACCTCCGGTTTTAAAGCTGTTGTCCTTCATGGTTCTCTTTGGGCGCGTAATTGCAGATACTGTATACACAAATTTGGAAAGGCGTATCTTGCGTAGACATTTTTACTTGCTCCTCGCAAGGGAAGTGAGAGAGGGCCATAGCAATCAAGGGGAAAATATAGGATTTTGCAGTAGGCGTCCCGACGCCCTCCCAAATGTTTCCGTACAACACCAGCCCCTGTTCTTAACACAGGTTTTTCAGAGACAGCACAAGCCGCCTGTCCGCCAATCAAATGAGTTCAAGGCTTCCGTTTGCAATTTAGTCCTTAATTTGGTCTGGGAGGAAGGGACAGTTTAAGCAGAATAGACTTTCTGCTCCATGAAGGTTGTTTGGGGTCTTATATAGAAGTCCTATATACAGTAGATGACACTTGCAAATGGAGCGACGAAGACCGGATTTTTCAGGGGCTGCGCTGGGGCTGTTTCCACCTTGGAACAGGTGGAAGCAACGTATGGTTCTCCCCCGACCCCCATTGTTCCGCTGTCCGTACCATGGTTGCTATGCACTATTGTTTTATGGCCACCAGGGGGAAGAGATGAGCGAATGGATCCACTCCCCATTAAGGGAATTTGAGGATACTTTTTATTTATTAAGGTGGGAGAATGATACAGGATGTCAGGGTGCGAGGTTGCAGTTAAAATTAGGAGAAGGAAATGCGGGGGTGATTCGGGCTCCAAGTGTCCCTTATCTCTGAAACCTTAGGAAATTTAAGTTTTCCTTTGCATGGAGCTGTGAATCCTGAGTGGTTGTTCTATTTGGTTAAAAGCACATTTATCATCACCATCATCATTTATTCCTCCACACTTTAGCATATTTTGGAAACAGTGTTAAAAGCTTTCCATTTTTACTTCCTTTTGAGACCAGGTATACTTTCAGGCATGCTCTGGTCCATGGGGACACGACTAAACGACTAATCAACAACAATACTTTCAGGATATTCTGGCATGCAGGCTTTTATTCCATTTTAATGGGAGTTTTCTTGGTATTGCCTGGAGGGGTGTAATGTTGAGAAAACAGAAATACTAACCCTCTCCCATATTGACCCAACAGTTTGGCTGACCCCTGAAGGCACACTATTCCATTGTCTCCCAAGATAGACAGCTATCAACAAAAAGAGTCTGAAAGACTTAATCTCTTTCTTTCAATTTATTGCCTCAAGCTTTCAGGCTAGAATAAATGCCTACTCAAAAACAAGCTTAAGTTCTGCCCTGGAGCTGGAAGGTGACTGGGAGAGTCACAAAACCACCACGCAAAAATGAGATTTAGTTGTGATTTCTGTATTGCAGAGGGTTGCACCAGATGGCCTTTGGGGCCCCTTCCAACCGGACAGTTCTATGATTCAACAGAATTTACTCCCAAGCAGTTGTGTATACAGCATGATCAGCTAACCCCTTTTTTTAGCTCTGTAGTCACCCTTGGCCAACTTCTAGGCTAAGTTATAGGTGTGTCTACAGCATTTTGAAATCAAGTTAACCCCACACCCCTCCTCAGTTATCTCTGCTTATCAGTGGATATGCGACTCTGAAGACTGTGGTGGGAAGATTTGTATCCCCAGCAGGGCCAAGAGGTTTATCTTTCTCTGCCTCCTTCAGTTCAGTGTCTATTTTGGCGATTCTCCACTTTGCTGCCTCTGCCCAAATCAATGGGGTGAGGTGAGAAAACTTTGCTTGGAAGACCCTCACCCTCCCATAGAGTAATACTGTCTACTGAGAAGTAAGCACCATTCAATCAAATTAGGCCTGCTCCTAGATATATTTATGTTTGCAATCCTACACCCACTTCTCCGGAAATAAGACCTGCTGAATTCAGTGGGACATTCTTCTGAGTAGAAGTGCAGAGGACTGTACTATTGTACAAGTAAAATGTTTTGCTTGACCAGACTATAGGTATTGCAGTACTACCAGAAAAATGGAAGAGCTTTGAACATCAAGCTAGAGAAAGTGGAGACATAAGTAAATTAAGTTTTGCCTTTTTTTCTACCTACAGCTTCTTTTACAAACTAGCTTATTTCTTAGCCTTATTGCGGTTATAAACAACAAAGGCTGTGTATACACCCTGGGAAATGTAGCTTGCTAAGAGTGCTCAGAATTGTTGTTCTGGGCCAACTATGGTTCACAGGATTTGATGCATGTGGGTGTGAAATGTGCTTTAAATGTATGGTTGCATATGCAGCAAAAGAAGGTCGTAGTACCCAAAGAACAGGTGGGAAACCTGTGGCCCCTCCAGAGGATGTTTATCTGCGACTTCCATTATTCCTGATCACTGATCATGCTACCTCAGATTGTTCGGCTTTGGAATTCAACAATATCTGGAGAGCCATACATTTCCCATTCCTGCCTTAGAGGCTAACAAATTTGTTATGGCATAATCTTTTTAAGTCCAGGAAAGCCTATGCAACAATAAGGTTGCTAGTCATTAAACATAAGGGCTTGTTTTTGCTGCTTCAGACTAGCACAACTACCACTCTGGAAATCCTGTGGTTACCCAGATGTCAAACATACTAAATGCAATGGTACTTGCTTACAGGTATGTGTACTTTGATGAGACCTTATCATTTAAGCAGGGGCAAAACTAGGCCCTATCGCACCTGTGATAGGAATTTTATGGTCTTAGATATATGGTAATATTCATAACCGCACATACATAGTTCAACACAGGAAGACCAACCTAGAACCATTTAGATTCCTAAACTGACCAAATGTTTTCTCTGCAAGGTCAAAATGGAAAAGCCTCCCCATTGTCTCTTCCTTCACAAATCCTGTCTTAATCTGTGTTTGAATAAGGGTGTGAGCCTTATCATTACAAAAGAATGGTCAGACTCCCAAGGCAATCCAATCAAGTAACCTGCCAGACAGGAAATAAACAAGAGACAGGAGAAAAACAACATTTAAATTTCTGTGATGTAGATGGGATGTATCTGAGGGGTGGTCTTAGGTTACACCCCTTCTGTGATGTATGCATAATGTTTCTGGGGGTGGTCTTGATCTACAGGATGGGAATTTCAAAAGTCTTTATAAGCCCTTGCACAGCAATTTTGGGGGTCCTCCTCCTCTCCTGCGTGTGAGGGGAGCACCCTGTTGCAACAGATCAATAAAGATGAAGCTTACTAGCTGCTTTGCTTCTCGATATTCTCTGGTTGGCCTCTGTTATTTTCTCCTACCGATAGGGAACCTATGTAAGGACTCTATATGGGCTCTTGGATACCCCATAAGGGAAAAGGGCAATTTTTTATTTACAACACACCCGGGTCAAATACCCATATGGCACCCCCCATGTGCATTAGCATACACACACAGGCTGGGAGCCTCAATTGCACCCCTCTGGAGGCTTCACTACAGCAAGAAACCTGGCTAGCCCCACCCCCACCCCACAGGTAGCTACTGCTCTGCTTTAAAGTATGTTGTTTTAAACTCAGTCAGGCTTACTTCCAAGTAGCATGCATAGCGTTAGGCTTTATGCACACTTTCTTGGCAGTAGGCTGCACTGAACTCTGTGGGACATGTTTCTGTTGGAGCAGCCTCTCAGCAACCACGTTTGCTTCACCTCCCCCTCAGTATATAAAAAAACAGTGTGCTAAAACTAGCCAAGCACATGGATAAGAGGGTTTTACAACTTTGAGAATAGTATTTATAGTGGCTTATCTTTCTGGTGCTGTGGGTTAAACCACAGAGCCTAGGACTTGCCGATCAGAAGGTCAGCGGTTCGAATCCCCGCGACGGGGTGAGCTCCAGTCATTCGGTCCCTGCTCCTGCCAACCTAGCAGTTCGAAAGCACGTCAAAGTGTAAGTAGATAAATAGATACCACTCTGGCGGGAAGGTAAACGGCGTTTCCATGCGCTGCTCTAGTTCGCCAGAAGCGGCTTAGTCATGCTGGCCACATGAACCGGCCAATAATGCGAGATGAGCACCACAACCCCAGAGTCAGTCACAACTGGACCTGATGGCCAGGGGGCCCTTTACCTTTTTATCTTTCTGTTGGGGGACCAAAGTTCACCATCACAAGCAAATCAGGCTCATTGTTTTATTTAAAGCTCTCAAATCAAGACTTTGATAATGTAAAAAAAGGTGCAAGTTGGCAGCCTCCAGGCAATGCTTGGTGTAGGTTTATAAGTGGCTCTAAGCATTATTTCAGGAGCTTTGCTGAAGTGATGCTTGAGTCAGTATTTTGCAATGTGTTCTTGGAGGTTCTAAGCATAACACTTTGAGAACAATTATATTTTACGTTAGTTCTCTTTTCAGCTTATGTTCTTGTCATGCAAGCCCCGCAAGCCTTCCTAGCGAGTAGACAGGAAAATGCTGTAGAGCAGCCTTTGCCAACCTAGTGCCGTCCTGTTATCATTGGATTACAACTCCCATCAACCCTGACCATTGGGCTAAGCTGGATCGGGCTGATGGGAGTTGAAGTCTAAAACATCTGAAGGCCAGCAGCTTGGTGAAAGCTGCTGCGGAAAATTACATCACAGTCAGGTTACAGTAATACTTCAAAAGAGAACTCTCACAGTACCAAGTGATCATCTGGTGCTCCCAAGGTAATATAAACAGCTAGGAGGTTTGTCAGGCCAATTTCCCCCCAACACCTCCTTCGACATTCCATGTTGCCATGCCGTTTTGTTCTTGCTCCATTTTAATTTGCAAGCCAATA